TTTATTCTTTTTCTTAATTTGTTTGAGTCTTTATTTACCACAAACCTGTCTGAGACTGTCTGTATTTCCTCCCTCTCCCTCTCTCTCTCTCTCTCTCTGTTTATCTCTTCATATGTTTTGTATAGTCTTTATTGTTATGACTTGAACTTAGACACAATGATGTAACCAATCCTAACCTTACTTGTTCAAAAGTATCTGTACATCTTCTTTGATATAATTACAGTCAGTATAGTCTCTCTTAATGGACACTCTCTATAGCGTACACCTCCATTTAACGGACAGCACCTAGTTGTATGTACCCCAGGGTTTCCCACAAAGCATGCTAAGTGAGCTAAACAGCATGAGCTTCATGAGCTGACAAGCACTACAATACAGTACATGGCATTTGGAGTAGCTTTAAAAATTTATAAAAAATCCAAATTTGATCGGAATCAGCTCAAACTTTCTGCACAACATAAGAACATGTATATGTATCAGGAAATGTAATTAAAATGTAGAATTCTCTCCTTTTCATTTTTGGCAAAATTTGACCAAAGACCCAAGGCTATAGCCCACGGTTTTTTCCAAAAAATGGCTCCGAAACCACACCAAATTTTTATTACATTTTCTAATACATATTGATGTCCTTATGCTGTGTAGAAAGTTTGAGCTGATTCTGACTTCAATTTTTCAAGTTACGGCCTTTTTAAGAAAACACCAAAATTTGAAAAATACCTAAGGCTATAGCCCATGGTTTTTTGCCTAATTTTTGAATAACTTTTAAAATTTATAAAAAATTTAAATTTGATTGGAATCAGCTCAAAGTTGATACACAACTTAAGTACATGTACATGTATCAGAAAATGTAATAAAAATTGAAAATTCTCTCCTTTTCATTTTTGATGAAATTGGCCCAAAATCCCTGTACTACAGTACAGGGACTTTGGTCCAATTTTTGAGCAACTTGACCAGCTGCTTGAGCATTATACCAAAATTTTATGGGAAACCAATTACATTCCTTACTGTATAAAATAACCTCCACATAAAGGACACCTCTGTATAACAGAGACACAGTGTCCATTATATAGAGGCTAGTCTGTATTCATGTACAACCATCTCTCTCTCTCTCTCTCTCTCTCTCTCTCCCTCTCCCTCTCAATTATTGTACTACCAGTTCCTTTTATTAATTGACTGTGGTTGTGATTTCATTATTACGTCATAAATTATTCCATAAATCAATAACAATAATAATAATAATAATAATAATAATAATGATAATGATAATAATAATAATAATAATAATAATAATAATAATAATAACACATTATTATTATTATTGATATTCTCTGGTTATCCAACTGTGAAATTAGTAGTAATTATGATGTAAAATATTTTTTCTAATTGTTTTTGATTTTTCATTAATTGTTTATCATCATTCATCACACTCCCACTAACTGCCCTTCATGTATTCATGTTTTGGCGGAATATTTTCCAGACATGCACCTGGTGTTTGACTGTAGCCATGACAACCAGTTTTATTGTTAGAAATTCTCTCTCCCTCTCCCTCTCTCTCTCTCTCTCTTTCTCTCTCTCTCTCTTCTAACCCACAGCCTAAAGAAGCTAGCAAGTCCTATTTACTCCAGCATGGTGACTATCTAAAGATTGGTGGTACTTCATTCCTGCTACACATTCATCGTGGCATGGCCTCCTGCAGTGAGTGCTCCTCTATGGGTATCAGTGTTGTGGGGGCGGCTGATGGGGGCGGAGCTAGCAACAATGAGTCACTGGAGATGCAGCGAAGGAAAGGACTCAATAAATTGAAAAAGAAATATGGACTGAGGGTAATGGAGGGAGAGGGAGGGGGAGATACGTTTATGTTACATTCCATAGTAATGTACAGTATGGTAGTATTAATGGGAGAATGGATCGAGAGATATTTAATGTTAAAATGTATCTTTGTTGTTTAGCTGAAGGATTCCTTTGGAGATGAACTTCACAAGTTACCCGAGAATTACACTGACAAGGCAGCTGCTAGGTATGTATATCCCTCCCTCTCCCTTTCTCTCTCTCTCTCTCCCTCCCTCCCTCTCCTCTCTCTCTCTCCCTCCCTCCCTCTCCTCTCTCTTTCTC